ACAAGCGAAAAATAGTTGATTCAGTGCAGTCTTGTTCAAGGTATCAACATGCCCTAAAGCCCCATAAAATTAAATCTACTTCTTCTGCTTTGGAAAATACAACAGATTGTAATTTAGATGACATGTTAACTGATAATCCTTGTAAAACTGTATCTACTTGTGATGCTAGTACTCAGGTTGCATTTGAACCTGTAGAATCTGTTCAGTTTTCTTTTGAATGCTTATTTGAAAATCAAAATGTTAGAACTCAAGTAACTTCTCCAAATGTATGTCGTGCTTTTTATAATATCTTTATATCTACCTCTGATAAATCTTGTGGTCTAGATTCAAGCAGTAAATAATTCATGCTTATCTTGTGATATATTTCATGGATTTAATTCAATAAAAAATGAAAATTCACTCAAAGACTTGACTGGTACTACTTATAAAGTGTTCGACCTATTGTGTTCAATGCTACCACAAGTATGCAATAGTTCTACAATTATAAATGATAGACTATTAATATTTCTGATAAAAATAAAACATAACTTAACATTTTCAGCAATTGGTGTTTTATTTAGTATACACCGTACTTCTGTAAGTAGAATTTTTTTCCAGTGTTTAGAAACATTAAGCATAAAAACAAAAAATCTAATTTTTTGGCCCATTAAAGTGCAATTAAAGAAACTTTACCTGAAGGATTTAAAAAATTATACACTAATACCCGCTGTATTATAGACTGTACTGAAATTAAAGTTGAACAACCCCCCACAATTGAACAAAGAGTGTATATGTACTTTAGGTACAAAGGCTGTTATACTGTAAAATTTTTAGCTGCAATCACTCCCAGTGGAGCAGTTTCGTTTWTTTCTAAATGTTATGGAGGAAGAGCTAGTGACTCATTTATTACCAATGATTCAGAATTTTTATCCAAATTGGAACCAGGGGATCAAGTATTAGTTGATAAAGGCTTCCCCGGCATCAAAACAGACTGTGAAAATAAAAATTCAATATTAGTCATGCCTCCTGTATTACATCATGGGATATTCACTGAACAAGAGATTCTTGAAACATACTCCATTGCTAGCATCAGAATCCATGTAGAAAGATTCTTTGCTAGRTTAAAAACTCACGGAGTGTTCGATAAAATACAAATAGAGCTTCTACCTCATATAGATGATATTGTTCATATGTGCTGTGTTCTGACAAATTTACAACCTCCAATAATAAAAAATGATAACAAATGAAATTTTGATTGTGACTAATTACAAGTGCAATACGATTTCACACTATTTCATGTTACACCCCCCCCCTTTTTTTAAAACAATTTATGTTATATTGTATACAATAATTTTTATTCAACAACTGTATTACCTTAACCTTAATTAATCAAAAAAGAAAAATTATTATTCTGTTTTTAATAATTTATTTTTAATAATATTAACATAATACTTAGTTATAAGTATGTATATCTTATATTTTTTACATTTGCATTATTTTGTATGTTTTTTTATATTTTTATATTTTTAATAGTATCGTTGAAACACACTCAATCTTGGTAAATAACATTTGAAATAAAAACATTCTACTTTTAAAAGAACTTGTTTTAAAAAATATTCATCTTTTTTTATAGTTATTAATAATGGATCTATAGTGTTATATATAAATAAATCACATTCATTTAACTCAGAAACAAACATTAAAATCTGGCATTGTGTATAATATTGATGAGATGGCTTTAATACTACTTTTCCATTTTCATACTTCAAATATTTTAAGTTTAGATTTCCTGTGTCTTCATACACTAAAGGTTTGTTTTTGCAACTTATAGGGCATTTAATTTCCAAGATTTTATTTATTTCCCCATTTTGAGATAAAACCAATGAATCTGGTGATGCACATAACCAAGGGTATTTGGAATGAATTATAAGTCCGGCTTTTATTGCTTTTTTGTTGAAAATTTCACAATATGTTTCAATAGCTATCATTTCAGTTTGTGTACCATATGCTGTATTTRACGCTGCTTTACCAATAAATTTCACATCATTAGAAATAATTTTAACAATTTTTTGTTGATTTGATTTTTGATCATCTGACATATTTTTACAAATTTTTGTTTTGTGGCATTTAGTTGCAGAAATCCTTACTTTTCTGTGTTCTGTCCATTTGTTACAATTTGATTGWTCCAATGTGCTATTGAAAATAGAWGTAACTTTTTTCACTACAATCATATTAAATRAGTCGAGTAACATAGCTGTGATGTGATCACAACTTGATTGATTCTCGAGAACTGAATTCATTAACCTATCATTTTTCATAAAATATATTTCTTCCATTTCAATACTATCTATTATTTCATTTAAACACATTTTACATTCTCTATCATCTTCTGACATTAGTTCCTCTTGTATCAACTTATTTACACCACAATTAATTGACAATATATCATAGGTATTAACCAAGTCATAATGGCTAATACTTAGTATTTCATTTTTAAGTTTTTTTKGGGGTGGAAAGAGCTGTTCAATTGTTCTACCTTTTTTATATTTTTCTTCCCCCACTTTTGATGGTTTCCCTTAAACCTGAGGAAAATCAGTTTTTGAAAAGCTATCTTCATTGTTTATATAATGTATTAATGCAGCAACATGCTTGCACTTTTCAGAAGCTCCAGCTGGACAATTACAAAAACATCTCTTTATGGTTCTGGTATCATCTAACAGTTAGATTCTAACTGTATGAATAAAGTACCTATATGGCACACGTGTTAGTAATAATTATTGAAATAAATTAAATTCTGTATAAATGAATAACCTACTTCTAGTTTAACTTGCCATGGGTGTAATGTGACGGACGTTTGTCTTATAATACTTGCTGTGATCACAGAAAAATTATTTGGTGGTCTCACTTCAGTAACAAATGTTACATGACCACTATCGGCTAAATTTAAACCCTTACTATTTGTAAATACAATATTACTATAAATATTTTGAAAACCGCACTTAATTATTATGTCCTTTATGTTAGACATAATACAATTTTTAACGAATTCAAATCAAAAGCTATTTGGAAAATTAAAAGTTGACATAACTAATTAGGCTTCTATGGTTTTTAATTGGTTGACTGTAATATCAATTTTAATAATACAATCTGATAAGAATTAATTTTTTAGTACCTATTCTGGTCTCAGAACCATGGGTAAATATTAATAAATATTAATAACTAWTTAACCATGCCGTTATGATACACATTGCATAGCATTCATGTTTATTCTAATCCACTCAGTAATGCGTGCATTCACCACTATGGGGCGCTCTGTTCAATAACTTGCACGTAGTCTATAGACGAATGTTTTCCCTGTACCACCAGGTCCATCAATGAAATATGCGTTAGGAACACTTGTATTTTCAAGGATCACACATTTCATAATGGTGCTTATAATATCACGCTGTCCTTGATTTGCGCTGTCAATCAAATCATGTTGAATTGATAATGGTAATGTATCTTGTTGATTTGATTCGCTGTCTATAATAGCAGCATCATATTCTGGTAAACCGATTGATTTCAATGTVTGACCATGCAATTTTAATGTTAATGAAATATCTGATAAGGTTTTTACATAAGCAATAATGACATTTGAAACTTGTATAAAGTCTTCAYTCATTGCGTCTTTAAATKTTTCCCATAAAACGTTAGTTTCATATGGTCTCTGAAAAATACATATATATTCAAACATTTATCGAATTTGCTTTGGCATTTGAAAAATGGAAACTTCACTTAAACAACGACACGACTCTGAATTATCTGATAGCAAATKTTGATGTTTAGCTGCCTGTTTAAAGAGAGGAMATTTTATATCATTCTATGTTCTAATGTCTTCGAATGATTTAACACCAATAACGTGGAGTAGAAGTAATCTTAGATAATACCGTTCACCATCGGAAGGCGATACATGGTACATTCTGCSAATGACTGGCTGATATTTAACTCGTTTTTTCCATTGCTTCCCATTCCAAACATAATGCATAGGTGTTTCGGGATAACTATATGRACTTTTAGTTTGTTTATGGTTATTTAAATTTAACCATCCTATTAGTGTAGTACTTTTCAACTCTGCGTGCATTAATGCTTCTGCTGCATTATCAATGGTGAAATACACTTGTTGTTGATCGGGTAAATGCACGGCTAGACGTACTACAGTATGTGATTGCTCATGCATACTGTATGAAAATATTCTATAAGCTGCTTCTCTAACCTCACGATTCACTGATGTTTGGTCTACAGTTACTTGGAGATTAGCGCAGTCATGACCTTTATAAATATATTTATGTAAGTATTTAACACTGTGGACAATTGCATAAATTTCAACATTAATATGAGCTTCAAAATACTTTAACTGAAAGGGATTATATGGGACAACGTATCTGTTATCAATATCAGTATAGCATATATAACAACAGTAAAATAATACCCAATAACCCGCCACGAACATTTTGGTTGTCATATTCTCCATCTGAAGATCGAGTGTATTGTATATCATGTAAAATGTTTGGGCTCCCAAAAGCAAAAAAATCTAATTTAGCATCACAAGGTTTTGGTGATTGGTGTAATTTGTCTAGAAAAATTGCAGTTCATGAACATTCACCAGAACACTTACAATCAGAAATCAGTCGAGGCCTTTTTATTAAAAGTAATCGGGTCAATATAGATGTACAACTTACTCAGTATGGTAATAGACAAGTTGCTGATAATCGAGAAGTAGTTCGTGCTATTGTAAAAGTTTTACATTTTGCTGCCCGACAAAATATACCATTACGAGGTCATTCTGAATGTTAGTCATCTTTGAACCGGGGTAATTTTATTGAAATGTTAAAGGTAATTGCTCATCATAATACACCTCTTACAGTCCATCTTGAAAAGGTGAATAAAGTGAAAAAAAATAGACTTACATTTATGTCTCATGAATCTCAAGATCAACTTTTATGTATATGAGTGAAATAGTTCGTTCAACAATATTAAAAAATATGAAAAAAGCTGGTCTTTTTTCTGTGATTATTGATACAACAACTGATGTATCTAATCAAGAACAGTTTTMATTTGTTGTTCGGTTTGTTAATGAAAATGGTAAAATTGAAGAACGGTTATTGGCGTTAGAAAKAGCAAATGATGGTACTGGGCATGGGCTATTTGACCTGTTTTGTAGAATAACAAGTAAATACTTTATTGATTGGAAAAAAAATCTCTGTGCTCAGGCATATGATGGTGCTGYGGCAATGCAAGGGATTTACTCTGGTCTGAGAACGCTTATACAACAACAAAATCCTAAAGCCATTTATGTATGGTGTTTTGCACATCTTCTCAATTTAGTTGTAGTCGATACATGTGACTCGTGTGTTGATACCAAAAATTTTTTGGGAGATGTACAAGCATTAGTATTTTTTATTAAAGCACGCAAAAGAACTTCTGTATTTGTTGAGTGTCACAAAAAAAGGTATATAATAATAAAAGAGTTCAAAGGATGAAAAGTTTTTCTGATACTCGTTGGACGTCCCATGATAGAGTTTTAACTGTTATTTTTGAGAAATATCAAGCATTAGTTGAATCTCTGAAACTATTATCTAATTCATCAGATAGATTGACAGCATCAACTTCTAGAACATTTTTGAATACAATATCAGAATTTAAATTTATATTATGTTTAATTTTTTTTTTWAAATATTTTTAATGTTACTACGCCCTTGTCTAATTATTTGTAATCAAGAAACATTGACTTTATTGAGGCATTAAATTTGGTTAATATTATAAAAGAAAACCTAAAGAARTTGCGATCTGATGATTCGTTTGATGATTTTTTAAAAACTACCAAAGAATATGGAAAAGTAAATAAAGTTGTCAACTGTGATTTTAAAGAAGTAARAAAAAGGACAAAAAAGAAAATGGCAGGTGAAAATGCAGTAGATGAAATTCAAGATCCAGTTTGCCATAATTACAAAATTAATACTTATTATTCTGCTTTGGATCAAATTATCACATCAATAAATGAAAGATTTAGTCAAGCAAAAGAAATTATGAAAGATCTAGCTTTATTAAACCCTGATCGCTTGTTATGTAAGTYTCAAAAACTTCCATTAGACAGTTTTGAACATATAGCTCCATGGATTAGTGTAGATGAAAGTCAATTAAGAACTGAGTATATGCAACTGAAAAATAATATAAGTCAACTACTGAATGGAATGAAATTATCTTCAGAACTACATGCATCTAATTTAAATATGGATGTTGAAAATGAAATATCAAGTTCAACTGAGGAGGAGATTTCTGATAATGAAACAAGTGAAAAAGATAATGTCTCAGCTAAAATATCAGTTACCACAATCATTGAACTTTTGTTTAGCTATGATTTAGTTTCAGCAATCCCGAATATATAAAGCTTATAAAGCATTGGCCACTATTCCATCTTCAATAAAAATTTGTTTATAAATGATTTATTTTGTTTATAAATGCCCTGCTTATTGTGTAAAAGTTTTTAACAATATATAGTAAATACATTTTCTTTTAGGTCAAATTAATAAAAACAAGGTTGCGATCAACTATGGGGCAAACAAGATTTGAAAGTTTAATGCTATTAAGCTGTGAAAAAGATATCCATGTTGACATGAATGAAGTGATCGATACATATGCTAGATCAAGTGAACTCTTACAAAAGTCATTATCAGGGCTCGGGACTTTATGTGCTTAAAATCTTAAAAATATGCGCATACATATGCACCAAAAAATATCAAAATATGCGCTTTAATATGCATTTATTTTTAATTAAAAAATACATACTTATTCAAATTTAATTTAAAAAAAATATATCTTGTACATATTACTAAAAATTTATATTTTATACATACTATATTACTAAAAAAAAATGTAAAAACTGTTGAATGGGAGGTCTTTGGATTTTTCAACTAATAATCATTTTATAGTTCTAATTATGTACTTACTTGCGTTACACTGGATTATCAAATGTTTTTTTATGTTCTCGACTTTGAAAGACCTTCTATTATTTGTAAGTAAAGTTATCCTTATCGGTATTATTGATGACAAAATCATGTAGATAAAATTGATTAATTTACTAAAAATATGATTTTACTATTAATGTTTGCAGTTATTTCTTCAGGTAACATAAATTAATTTTGAATATTCATATTATTACCAAAAACTAATACACTATAATGCCCTGCGTCACCATTGCCAGAAAATAATAAATTACACATTATAGCACCAGAACCATAATCTACAAATGCATTAAGATCATTAGATCTATACACACGAAATGTATGACTTGAATAAAGTCGACTAATTCATTCATGTTCGACGCAGTGTTGCCAGATTGTGCGGTTTATCGCCAAATGGGCTATTTCGGAACATCAAATGGCGGCAGAAATTAATGAGTTGCGGTATACCGCAAATTGGACGATTTTGTATCAACTAATTGACTACTTTGGGCTTTCAAAATGTATTCAAATAATTATATAAATTAAATGACAAATGATCGTTCACCTGTAAAAATTATGAAAAAAAGTTTTTTCCGTTATCATACTAGTTTGTGTCATAGATAGATAATATTATCACAGAATAACATTACATTATTATAGTTATTATTATATTATTAATAATAATTATTATTATTACATTATTTAATAATAATATTCTGTGATATTATCTATGCTTTGTGTCCTGATTTATTTACCTACTTACATTGTCTTACACCATGGGTAAATATGCAAAATACACTCGACACTATGTGGAGAATTGGGAAAAGGAATCCAAGTTTAAAGGTAAATAGTAAATACCAATTATTATAAACTGACTTTATTATTATAGTTGATCAATGTAAAACAAATACTAATTTAAAAATATTTCAGGTTGGCTTAGAAGGGYTACTGATATCGAATCTACAGACAATGATTGCAAAGAGGTATATTGTAAGGTATGTAAAGTTGTTCTTAGAGCTCACCGTGGTGACTTGGTTAGTCATGCTAAAACAAAGAAACATGAGCAAAAACCCAAACTCTTACTGCCTCAAATACAGCAAAAATTGAGTTCTTTCGGTAAAATGATTATTTTCAAAAAATATTTTGATATATCATGCAAATATTAATCAGTTTATTTTTTTTAAGGTATATCCAATATTGTATCTAAGGAAAAAAATAGTTGATCTTAAATTAGCAGTACATATTGCTACACAATCGGCATTGAGAAGCATTAACCACCTGGGAGAGCTTTTAAAAGTATTTGGTAAAGGATCATGCAGACTGGTGCAACTCTATAGGGGTATTTACACCATATAGTTTATACTACGYAACCACCGGTAGCACTGCCACGATTTAAGATATACAGGTTGCACAACGACCTATGTTTAATAGCGTCCCGCAGTGACTTTCAAAATGACACTATTAAACAGCTGTCAAAAATAGAGCATTAGCGCTCCCGGTGTCGAAATAAGCAAAATTCCTATGGTTAAASATCTTATATTATTATCTATTTCGAAATTTTGCCTCGCTTTATTTATCATTTGATTCAGCTTCTGATTTTATACTATTTATTCTATTATTATACTTGAACTTGGACTTGAATACTTTATTTTATGTATAACAATAAGAAAAAGACATAATCTTATATAATAATTTAAAATAAAACTAATTTCCTTAGATAATAATAAAAAATTTCCCTAGCTGTGGCGACACTGAAATACAATTTTTTTGAAGTGTCAGTTCTTGAGTCACAATATTCGTCTTCGTTGTGCAACCTGTGTATCTTAAATCGTGAGCGCTGCACAACACTGCTCATTATCAGTTATTAACTACGCAGTACGTGGTAACTGATTACGACTTGTCGAAGTTTGCGAGTGCCACTCCAGTGGCGGCCTGGCCAGGTCGGCGAGTCGGCGATCGCCGACTGGGCCTTTGGCTAAATGGGCCCTTACAGCCAGAGCCATTACCCGATTGAGATTATATTA